CCAAACTGTTTAAATCCAGCCTGAGCCTTTCATCAACTTCAACAATAACCTTGTCATCAGATCCTTTAAAGCAGTGTTTTCCAAACTGTTTAAACCCAGCCTGAGCCTTTCATCAACTTCAACAATAACCTTGCCATCAGATCCTTTAAGGCAGTGTTTTCCAAATTGTGGGGCATGTTCCTCCTGGGGGCATATACTGGTGAAAAAAAAAACAGATGGGTCAGAGTTGACGATAACTTAATAAAACTATCACTTTGCTTTCAAAGCTTTTTTTATGCTTTTGCATTTACCCGCTTCTTACAGACATTTTTCATTTTAAAAATTTATTAGAAACAGGAACATAAAATGCTAATTTTGCTGTTATCACATGCAAAAATGATTTTAAAATGGAGGGAGGTGCAACTGAAACTTTGCTGTGTTATTGGGGTACCGCTATATAAATTTTGGAAAACACTGCTTTTGGGGTACAATCACCATTCTAACATCTTGCTTAATCCTCTCATCCTATTATCTTCAGAATATTCCACAGAGAAATCTGAAATACTAAGCATAGGATTAACATGAAAATATCCATCTTTTAGACACATAAAACACCAATAGATCTTAACAGAAAAATACTGTAGGAAATAAAACTGTATGAGCACAAATTGATCTTCAAACTGATCATGCATCATTGATCTGACTAATGAATTTTTGGAATCCCAAAGGCCATGGTAGCAATACACTTTCAAAAACTGTTGAAGAAACACTTTACTTGCATTATCTTGGGTAGAACCACAGTTTGGTGATGTATTAGGGAAAAGACCTTGGAATGAGGATGACTGTAGGTTTTGTGAACACCAGAAGATCAAGGTCAGCCTAAACACTAATAAAGGACCAATGATGGAAGTGTCCAAGTGCTTACAAGGAACACCACTGTAACAGACATACAGTATGGATCTTTGAACTATACTGTATACGGACTTGAAACTATAGTTTAAACTTTTACATCTATATATATATATATATATATATATCTACATGATGATCTGTCATATTTTCTATGTAAATATGTCTAATTCTATCTTTCATGTCTTCTTTCAGTTGAAAATTAGTCTCATTAGCAGTTGTTACCCTTGATAAAAGTACAAACTGAAGCTTAGGAAAGCAAATGAATATTTTTATCTATCTGAAGTTAAGGACCATTTATTCAATAATTGATACTGATATTGTTTACCTGGCTGTGGTTAATCTACCACATATTCTTCTTATGGGTTTACTTCGTGTCAAAACAGGGTTCAAAGGCAAAGCAGTTTTTACTATAGGTATTCATTAGTAGTGTTGTCATTCATCTATTCCAGTATCACAGCAGTTTGGATCTACAAAGCAGTAAAAAAACAATATTCATGGCATCACCTTTTTATTTCAGTCTAAAACACTTTCATAAAAGTATTTATAAATTACTTATATTGGGATTTATAATTGCTAATCAATGCTACTGTGTTATGCTTTTTTTCCTTTTTCTTAATATAAATACATGCATACAAACACATATCTTTAACACTTTTTAGTGTTCAGATAACTCTCTGTATATTTACCTGCTTCTAGTAATTTGTTTTAAAGTTAATAACAAAATATATAATAATAGCTCAAGTGTACTGCTGATATAACGACCTGTCAAACTTGTGATGAAACTTGACTTCATTCCTTGGGATATATAGTGTACATACAGAAGTTGTGATGAGTGCTTTATTTCCTACAATGTTCTACTTTTGTATGAATGTATTCCTGTTTTGTCTTCATACCTGGAAAAAAAAACAAATATATATATATATATACGCACATACACACACACACACACACACATAAGTATGTACATTCATTGTTTTTATTGTTGTTACTGATTTTACATCACATGATCATCATATCGAGCTCGAATATGGCACTGGACAGATAGTTAGGGAAGAGTAGATTTAGGAGCCCTCAGTGAGGAGGGAGGCCTTCTCCTCTCCCTCCAAAACAGAATTGTTTTTTTCTGTAAACTGAAGCTGTGTGTGGTATTTGAACCTAAAAAGCTACAAATATTTTGATTCTGTTACTATATATTTATACATACTAATTACACAATCACTTAGGAGTACTCAGCAGTGCCTAAATCACCTAATTGGCATTTTCATCTCTGATCAATGCTAACAATTTCATATATATGGTTTGAATAAACATTTTAGCAATAAAATCAAGTTTTTATCATAAAAATTACAATCATTTTAAATTCCTATAAAAGGAAATAAAAACAAACAAACTGCATATCATATTTCTATATTTCCAATGTAGATCTATAAACAGCTATTAGCATTCCCACAAATTATGTGTATATTCCATACTCAACTTCCTCTGCTTTCAATATACCAACTGATCAATATTAAACATTACATCTACCCAGAAACCTGGGTAACTTGGCTGATTTCCAATGATAAGATCTGCAGAGGCTCTAGAGATTCCACTGGATGATATATATATATATATATGTGTG